GACAGTTAATAGCGACGCTAACGACCTGGCGCTCCTCTTCGAGAGACGGGTGGACGCGTTGGGAGGAAAACATGTTTATGAGCCAGCCTGGAAATGGGGGCGTGTGGTGGGAATCCTTGGAACACAAGAATCGTGCCGTCTAGGAACATATCCAAAATACAAGACACACACGACGCGGAGACAAGTTCGAGTCGACAGAGAAATCATCTCTCCCCCGGCCCGGGAACAGCCGACGCACGTGCCTGGCACACAGTTCTCCGCACGCGGCCACGAACGTCTCTTCCCCAACGCACCTTCAGTCAAATTGCAGGCCGCGCCCGCTCCTACGGCCGAGCTGCGCCAATACAGGGCGGATATCGACCGGATGTCTTAGTGCTCGACTTTGTCACGCCTCTCTCTGTTCCTCCTGGTTGCGAGAGATGCAGAGCCGGGGATTCGGACACGCTTCCTTATGGCTCGGTTGCTGGTGTGCTGGGTAGTCTACGAGACCATGACGCCATGTCACCGGTTTCTGACGTGTATTTCTGGATTCAACTTCAACCCAATCTATGCTTGTTTGTATTCCATCGAGTCCACTTGCGCGGAAGAAGTGCTGTCAACGGTGCTGTCAACCAGTGGAGTCTTCAGTTGGGGGTTCGATTGTACATCAAAGGACACATGGCCGGTGAGGTGATGTGCGCGTTGCATTCAGTGACGAATGTCTGACGCTCGACACGGCCATGCATTTGATCAGATCGCGCACGAACGCTTGTGCTGCAGCGCGTACATGCACTGGCGTGTAGATGTGCATGCCGCCAGTGCCGCGTGCAAGTCCTCCTAGTCCCAGGGAGTGCAATCGTCCCATGCGCCGACGTGCTCAACTCAAAACACAACGAAGACGATCGGCCAAATTGGGCACGACTGTGGTATGGCCGCAGTAGGACTCACGGGCAGTCTAGCAGCGCGCTGGCTGTGCTTCTGATAGAGCCTGATCGCTGATCGCACCCATGTTGCCGGTTATTGACAATTGCACACAGGTGAGTTCATGTCTTGTCTACTTATAAATACATAAATCATCTCTGGCCTTATTGCCAATACATGCCATCGTATATATTGCGGCTCGGGTTTTGCTGATGGAGGAGCGCATTAATTCGGCCTAGGTTCTGTCGGTCGGCGTATCCTCGTCGCGCGGAGGCTGTTATTTCACCCTTGCTACGTGTGGATAACGACTGCCGTATGAATGCCAGCGATGCAAAAGCGACGCTCTGTTGCGTTTCCGGCGGCGCCCTGTGTTCCGGCCAGACCCAGGAGACCGCCCACATTGTTTGCACGCCTTTCTCGCTGTTGCAGCTCGCTGTCAAGACTCAACACGCCCATCTCTACTTTCTCGTAACGACGGCCATGGTCCACTGACGGACGAGAGTTGGCGCGCTCGTCTTTCGGATGTCTAGAAGGATCTCGAAACTCGATCGTTCATGCCCTAAGACGACAAAATAGCTCAATTCATGCTGAGAGGCCATAAGTCAATACCAACTCACTCAAATACATCACGCCAAGCAACCAGGATGACAACAAGCACGAGCCCTCCAACGACTGTGCCTCTCATTCCTAACGGCGGTCCTGGACGGATTGTTGCAGCAGAACGCACGTCTGAAGAGACTTTGTTCCGCATGCGTTTCCCATGATATGTGGTGCATCCCTTGTCTTGTTTCATTACTGACACGCTGGTGCAGATAGTCAAACCACCGTCGTGCCTTCGCGATGTTGGAGCATACTTGTTCTGGAGAAGCGACGGAGGTTGAGACACGGGAACATTGACCAATGGGGGACGCAGGTCATTCTACTTATGTCGTGGTTGTGGTCTTCAAGCAGGTGGATACAAGTACTACAACCTTCGGACCATCGTGGGGCAGCTGGATCAAGCGGGATGAGTTCCCTCTGACAATTACCTCCCCGTACGCCATGGCAGGCGATTGCACTGCATGGATAGATGTCATGTTGATTGTGTCCGCATTCTGGACGCAAAACATTGTTTTAGTCGGTGCGTACAATCCCATTCCTCTATCTGCCACTCGCTCCGCACTCGCCTAGCCCACCCATCCTACGACCTCGATTAGCCCGACCCTTACAGGTAGTCGTGCATCTCTGCTGTGCTGGAGTTGCTCATGCCCGAACTAGAGCGATGGAGGAGTCTTCGGAACGGTCGGCTGCTTGCACTCTGCAAGCCTTGGTTTGGATTACTCGGGAGATTCGCGTTTGGCAACATATCTGAGCGATGTGTGCCTACGTGTGATATCGGCCCGTCACCGCAGGCTGTTCGCCGATCCTCAATCTCGCATCCGTGCAGCATGGACAGCAAAGCGGACTTGCGGCGTGCACTCAATTCCTCCGCACGCATGGCGGAGGACACGAGTCTGGCCATTTTGGAGTGTCCTAGCCTACCCGATGTATTCCTCGACATGTTGTCGGTCTCATGATGCGCGCTGGGTTATCCAGCTTCTCAGTCTGTGATTGTCCAGGCTTCTATAGCAATACTCTGACACGGGTAATTAACGGCTGAACAAAGACTCACAAGAAAAGTGGTTTCGCGCGCATAGATGGCTCGCACAGTCCATCGAGGATTGCGTTACGGAAACAGGGCAATTTTCGGTTGGATGCCAGAAACATCTGGTGTTCAGGATTGGCTCTTCCCCTTGGATCTCATGCTGTGTGACTGCCGTTAGATCGCCTTCCTAGATTATCTCTACAAAAATACTGATGCAATGCTGAGATACTTGTCACCCATGTGCACCTGCAAGTCTCAGCATGGAACGTGCTTGTGAAGGTATGTGTCCAGCCAGAAGAATCCAGTATGGGCTTCGCACGTCGCTTCGTAGTATAGCGTAATTTTGCGTCTGGAAGGTGATGTGACTGGACGCGGACAGGCCGGTCCAGCTTGGATATTAGACGTGTGTTGCGTCCTCCTCTTCATCTCATTTTGGACGGCTGCGAGCGCGTACACACGTGGCTTGATTGTGTCTGGTGAATATCCTGATGGCACCGTGCTGGCCTATTTTTCTATCTTCATTTTTCAATATGACTAGCAGAGAGCGTCAGTTTGCGCGGCCTACAGAGCGAATTCAGGCCTCAGGCTCTATGCTGCATCGGGACACGGCTCTGCCTCGGGCGGCTACAATTCGTCCGCGGGTGCCACCGTCCTCGATTGGGCGCGGTTGTGGGGCGAACACTCTCTGCACCGTATCCGACATGCACGCACGCACCCCGCACACATCTGGGAGATACGTCTGCCTCTGCGCCACCGTCTGACGCACCGCAGAAAGCTCGTTCTGCATCCGGCGCGCCAAGCGACCACCATCTGTAATCCCCGCGCGACACTCTGTCTGCCCGAAGGCCCGCGCCAGTGGGTGTCCCATCGTCCGCCATCACCCAGCTGCGCAGAACGCAATCTGGGCACGCGATTGTACTTACATGATGCATGAGGCGGAGTGCAGTGCGTTCGCGGCGGATCAGATGGTTGCGAAATACGTCGAGGCGGCGCACGTCCCTGGGTCCCTTTGGCACTACCTTGCCCCTTGGACGCACCCGGCGGATCTCGACGACAGCGCATCGCCGCGCGCCATGCCACTCACAGCGACAGACCCTCGCTCCGGGCACTACGAAGCGCCAAACCCAGGACAGGAGCGCGCTCGTTGTGGCCCTCGCCCGGAACTCCGCCCATCCGCGTTGCCCCGCCCTGTATCCCCACCAGCAACACTGCCTCCCCCGCCCCGCCTCCGCCTCCGCCTCCGTCTCCGTCTCCCTTCCCCAGATGACCCGTTTTCTCTCTCACACTACTCCCGGCAGCGCTCATGGACCTGATAAAGTGCAGACATCGGCGCAGAGGCATCGCGAGTCACTAGACACCGAATGGCAAGGGTGGATCAGATGTCCTGTTGGGTGTCTACTGCTTCCGATATTGTCGCAGGACAATGGCACCTCTTCCTGCCCGTCGCGATACTTTGCTCCTCGCTGATCTTCCTGCCTTGGAGGTCATCCCCGGCTGAGAAAAACAAAGGCGATGTTGACTCCGACAGCGTAAAACTCAAACCTTTGGGCAAATTAGATACCATACTCACAGAGCGCACCGCGCTCAACATAGACCGTTGCGGGGATCATAGACAAAGAATACGTGACGGAAGTGCCTTTCCACGTCGGCGAGGTGCGCGTCTCGAGGATCTTCGTACATCCCATTAAAGTGCGTATGTCTCCAAGCAACGAGGATCGGTGCGTTCTTACTTGGTGTTTACAATCAGAGCTGCCGCGGGACGTCAGTGTCGCAGGCTCGTTTCACGCCCACAAGTCTCGAGGTGAGCGCGATTCCACGATCGACTGCAGGAAACCGCACAAGAAACCGCTGCGTTCTTCTGCAGCCCTTCCGCTCAGACAGAGCGGGAGCGGTGTTTCCAGCAACATCGGCCTGAACAGCGTTCACCAGAATGACCGAAAGTGGTGTATCGTCGACGCACAAACTAAAGCTATCATCACCGCGAGAGAGTTCCCCAAGGTGCGATCCGCGCCTGTTCTGACTCTGCTCAGGTACAATCATTGCAGAACAGATAGTACTCATCATCCCACGGCTTGATGTCGATTCCTCTTCATCACACGGTGGGAGCCTCACTATATCTTTCCCGAAAGAATCGGGATGTTCGGAATTCAGCGTGCCCATCGCGCCAACGCCTGACATGCTCCGCAAGTGGGAGGTGTACGTGTGTCTGCGATGATTGCCGTACCCCACTAACGCCTTTCGTCCGCCAGACTAGAGGGCTGCAAGATGCACAGAGTCATCGTCATGGACGGATATGTCTCCCAGTCTATCTCCTCGCCTCCGCACACACCCACCAAGACACTGTCCGAATACTTCGGCAAGCCGGTGCATCTCCTGATGAAAGGTCCGACTCCGCGTGAATGCGTCCCGACTAGTGCGTTCCCCGACCTCAAGGCGACCGCCTTGTATACCGTGCGCATTCCCAAATGTACGTTAATTCGAACGCCTGGCCTCACTGTCGTATGATAGGACGGGTATCCCCTGCACGTCGCAAGCGAAGAAAGTCTTGCCGAGTTCCAGCGCGTAGTGCAGGGATTTGCGAGCAAAGGGCAAGACGCCGCCATTGGCGGCTTGGACCACGAACGGTGGAGCAAAGGCGCGGTCGAGATGGAGCGGTGAGACCGCTGCGGCCGTCCGTCCCCTGTCGCTGCGTTGCTCACGACGACGACCAGATTCCGTCCCAACATCGTCTTCAAAGGCGCAGGCGTGCCTTTCGCCGAAGACTTCTGGCGCACCGTCGTCCTCCATTCGTCCGGTCCGACCGCCAGCTCGGAGCTCACGCTCCTCTCCAAGTGCACACGGTGTCTGGTCAGTCGTTCCACCTAGTCCTGTGCCTCGGTTCGCTCATCGCTCGACATATGATATACGCCCAGCTCCCAAACGTCGACGCTCACACCGGTGTTCGGGACGCAGCAGTTCCCTTGAAGGTTCTGTTCAAGTTCCGCATGGGCAAAGCCCGGGAGAATACGAAGGGGGCGTGCTTCGGATGCAACGGGATGCTGGACAGGAGCGGCGTCGTGAAAGTGGGTGACCTCGTGACGGTCAAAGAGTGGACAGATCTGGGGGGTGTATGAACCCACTTGTACGACGCTGTAGTGAACTGACAGATTCATATATACATTGTGCTGTGCGCCACCTCGCGCTGAACTGGCTATATCTTGGGCATAAGAGCGCTGAACGTTTCTTCGATTACCGAGGCTGAGAGACGTTCGAATCGACATCATCGAGAAATTCGCCCGCAGGGCCCATCTACTGAACCTAAACCAAGGCATCAATGCATAGGTGCCTTCTGGAAACCGGGTCGCTCGACGGGCTGCGCTTCAAACGCGTGAAGAAAACCGAACCATGCAATTCACGTAAACTAAGTGTATCTCGTCGAAGGACACACTTTCTGATTTGAATCCATGTCACTTTTCGCTGGGCAGCGATGCGTGCATCCTCCGTAGGCACCCTACGGGATCCGGGGCTTGGGCGGTCCTTGCCTCGATGGCAGGGCAGACGACTTCGAGCAGGATATCCACCCGGGATCGCAGAGCGCGCGAGCACCAGCGGTGCCCCGCAATCGCCAACACGGGCGTGCGTGTCTCATTTGTATATTCGCGCGAGCGGACAGACGCATGCAGACACCCTCGGGCACCGTTCCACGCAGCGCTAATAGCCGTGCGCAATGCCCATCCACCCGTCCCGGCAAAGCTTTATTTACGGGTTCGAAATTGGATACAACCGCCTCCGGACGCTCCTGCCAGTTCCCCCGTCGCGCACCACGCTCCTGATCGCGTGCGTATTCGCTAGGTAAGCGGCTAGGCACATCGAGAGGACCAGAGACACGATCGTGCGCTCCGGGAGGGGGCGTCCGTTGCGCACGCGTGCCGGCCGGCGGATGGCCTCGTCGGGGAATGGGGATGTGCATTCACTGTCCTGGCGACGCGCACGACCAGAAAGGACATCTTCTGTGCGTCCACTGCCGGGCGTGGTGATTGTCATCGGCGTATGGCAAGTGCGCTCGATGTGCGGGTCGTCTTCCTGTCTCCGCACGCTTCTGTGCAGGTGTAGCGAAACGCATCGGAAATGAGTTGATGAAGCCTGTACGAGCCCCAGAATAGCCCCACGCGCACACTAGTCTGCCAGCCCGGGCGTGCCGAAGACCCAGGCGCCTTGTCGATGCGGTCTGAATCTATCCGTCTAACAGCCAACTGCAATCCGTCAAGCGCCATCAGAGTGGTGCCGCCTACGCACCGCAACGGACGCAATACATGAACGGATGCGATGCCACAAAGAAGACGGCAGCGCACCGCCCTCGTGGTGGCCCAACCTGTCCAACATTCGCACTCCTCGACCGTTCACCGACGGACGGTGATCATCGCGCCGCATCTGTATTGTCTGCGCGTAGACGCAGAGCGAATCGATACACGCGTACTATTCTTACATCTGGTGCAGGCGAAGACGCTATGTTCTAGGACGCCCCGCGAACGCGAAGCTGGTCGGTGCTAGCTATGCTGCTGCGCCGACAGACTCGGGGACCAAGCTCACAAGGTTGGACGCGGGCGAGAAGCATGCGCTGGCGCGGTTCGCGGCAGGAAGCCTGTGGGTGCCGGACGGCTGTGGGGTTCATTCAGGTGACCACACAGCTGCGAATGGGTACGAACGGAAGGGAGAAGCTTGGCTGGGAAGGCTGGAATGGACCTCTTCTACGCCGAACGCATTGGTTGTTACCCGCATATGAAGAGTCCGCCCGATTCACGCGTGCCCTTCCTGTACATGGTCTTTGGGAATGCACTAGAAGTCACCGGACACGAGGGACGTATCAGCTCCCATGTCGCCATGAGCACGCACAGAGGACGCTGTTCTGCCAGGCGCTCGACACTCCTCCGTCGATATGGGTATCCATTCATCTAACGTTGAACGCTCGAAGTGCTCGCAGACTGACTGGTCTACCGACGGATGGAGATTATCGCGCCGGATCTGTGCTGGCCACACTTGGACGCAGAGGGGCTCGATGCACGCGCACCGCAGATACCACCCGGCAGGGGAGTTTCTGTACTCGCTTGGAGGTGGATGAATGGGGTCACGATGGTCAGGAACTATTATTGTCAGTGACCCTGCACAAGCTTCTGAGGCTGCTGTGTTGACGGCGGACATAGGTGGGCGAGTGACCCAGAGAAGAACTCGCCACTCGACTAGAGCCCCAGAATATGCGCAGCAGCCGCTCACCTGGCGCCATGTCTACAGTCTTCTTGCCTCTCACTAGTCTTCAATGTTGAAATTTGGTACCCCGCAATCACACACGAACGAGCCCGCGCATTCTAGACGAAGCCGGTGTCCACCAAGTACTGCGTCGCACTCAAAGACAGTATCGCGGCGCTAACGACTTGGTGTTCCTTTACGAGAGACGGGGGTTCTCGAGAATGGACGCGTTGGGAGAGAAGTATGTTTATGAGCCAACCTGGAAATGGGGGCGCGTAATGGGCATCCATGGAGCACAAGAATCGTGCCGTCTAGAAACATATCCTACAAGACACGCATGATGCGGAGACAAGTCCGAGTCTCTCTCCCCCGGGAACCGCCGGCACACGTGCACGCTACAAAACTCTCCGCACGTTGCCACGCACGTCTCTTTCCCAACGCACCTTCAGTCAAATTGCAGACCTGCTCCCTCCTACGGCCGGGCTGCGCCAATACAGGGCGGATATCGACCGGATGTCTTAGTGCTCGACTTTCTTTGTCGCGCTTCTCTCTTTTCCTCCTGGTTGTGGGAGATGCAGAGCCGGGGATTCGGACACGCTTCCTTATGGCTCGGTCGCTGGTGCGCTGGGGCGGTGTACGAGGCTATGAGGTCCTGTCACCGCTTTCTGACATGTATTTCTGGATTTGACCTAATCTATGCTTATTTGTGTTCCATCGAGTCTGTTTGCGCGGAAGATATGCTGCTAACGACGCAGTCGACCAGTCGAGTCTTCAACCGAGGGGAGGGGGTTCGGAGTGCATCAAAGGACACATGGCTGGTGAAGTGATGTGTACCCTACATTCAGTGACGAACATCTCACTCTCGACACGGTCATGCACTTGATCAGATCGCGCATGAACGCTTGTTCTGCAGCGTTGAAGTGTGCTAACGTGTAGATGTACATGCCGCCAGTGCCGTGCGCAAGTCCTCCTAGCCACAGGGAGTGCGATCGTCCCATGCACTGCCGTGTTCAACTAGAAGCCCACTAGGACAACGAAGACAATCGGCCAGGTTAGGCACGACTGGTATGGCCGCAGTAGGATTCACGGGCAGTCTAGCAGCGCGCTGGCTGTGCCTCTGATAGAGCCTGATCGCTGATCGCACCCCATGGGCTCTCCTGCGTACTGCTGCCGCGGTATTTTTGATCGGTGCTAGTCGAGCCATAGCCCTCGCCGAGAGGACGACCGCGCTGATTCGTTTGCTCGATCGGAGTGCGGGGCAGGGACCCGGGCCGCCGTCCATTCTTTAGTGGACGGAGATTGTGTTTCTTCCAATGCCTACATATCTGGCGCAGCGCAGATCTCTGGGGTATCCTTGACCTGGGGCGTCGCTATGCGTATATTTGGACCTGGGTACGAGTCCTCAGGAGCAGTCGCCACGAGCACCATGCGGTGATATCGAATTTCTCGACTTATTGCTCGCAGTCGCCCCTCTCTAACCAGTCAGCGCCAGGTGTCCGACTGTCGGCAGCGGCGCGTCCTTGCAGGCTTGTCCTATACTGCGACACAAACCGCTTCCATGACGTGTTCCTGCCTGCAGGCCCGCTGCCGATATGGCTGCCGCTGG